CTTGTCCTCTTTCGCACTAAAACTCCTTATAAGGAACCTGGCTTGAATGTGACGATTAAAATTTAATACGGTTTAAATCAAACCACTGGTTCTCAAAGTTTTTAGGCGACAGCCCCAATGGGCGTTAAGGAATTCTTATACAGTTGTTCAACACTGAACCGCCCCAGCTTTATAATCTTTACAGGAGGGCGCTTCTAGCAATACTGGGTTATAGTTCCTATTTTTGCCACGTTGGACAACACGGAAGTGTCCCATATAATTATTGCATTTATAGGAGGGCGCTACTATCTTTCAGCACTGGCCCATTTATTGTCCTGAAGCAGTGGTAGGGTTAATACTGGGACGTGTAAAAGTGCTTTTTTAAAGCCTATTTGCAGAAATAAATGAGTTTTATGAGTTTTATTAATTATTAATTGTTATTAGTTCCGATTTTTTCCACTTAGCGTATCAGAATCGTTTGACTGTATCTGTAATTCGTTGGGCAAATTGGCTCTTGTTCAAAGCACTGCTAATAAATGTTATTTAACAGTACAGGAAAAATACAAAATACCAACAGCAATAAAAATACCTTAGATAAAATAGGTTGATCAATTTTTGTAATTAGATAGCTACTGCGTACCCCGAAATCAATAATGTCTATTAGATTTGATAAAAAAAACTTGTTACAATGTCTATTAGATTTTTTTATATGCTTACTTCCTTGTTTTGTATACGATGTCTCAAAAAATATTTTTGGTCAAGCAAAAAAAACATTTTTGATGTTGTAAGCCACTTAATTCAATAAAATTAATAACTGGCTTGACAATATTTTATGTTTTTAGGATTTTAGAAAAAAGAAAAGTGGAAAAAAAAATATTTTTTTCTTCCAACATTGACCCAGAATGTTGAGAACCGCCGCTGGGAAGTTAAACAAAGAACGCGAGAGTCGAACCAGTTAAATGTTACTTTCGTTTGAACTTGACCTCCGTGGATGCGCAAGCGCCGGTGCGTGAGGGCACAGTGTAGAAACGTTGCAGTAACTAAAGTAACGAGATATTAAGTACACAGATTCTAGCTTTTTTAGATTTTGCATATTCTAGCTGCCAGTTGTGGTGTCCAGTCACACCGTACAATTATACAAACCTAGGTAGGTCTCTCTCTCTGTCAATTTTATCTCATTTATTAAAAAAAAAATCATATTGTGGCCTTCTTATATTTATTTTGGGGTGAAATAAGACGTTAGGCTGCTAGGCACACTTCTCAGGATGTCGTAAATGGCGTATAAATTAAATCCTCTATTATTAAAAAGGGTTGTGCTTCTGCAATAAGACTAAATACGCTTAATATGATAATGCAATATACTGTTCAAGACACATTACACTGTGGCTGCCCATTTTTTTTATTATTTGTTAGTTTTTAATGGATCTCGATCCCGCCCAGCTGTCTTGTCGCTGTCATTGAATGTAATACGGCATTGTTACAAATGACCAGTCGTTAGTTTCGTAAGGTTTGTGTACTTAACGTTGTTTGTTGTAATATAATTTTGTTGTGTGGCATAGTTAGGAATTTATGCTCAAAATTGACTTTGATTTCACTTTAATTCATAAATCTTAAGTAGTTTGAAAGCTAGTGCTGCTTGCCAAACCATCCATTTACCTTTCAATTATCCTTCTTTTTTGGATGTCGGAGAATAATAAATGAAGCATATCAGTTTTGGCGTCTTAATTACTTATAGGCAGAAGCGTATTCTGTCAAAAATATTTGAAGTGGTGTTAATTCAATAAAAATCCGCAAAAAAGTTTAATGGAAATCAAATTATTTACCGCAACGTGTGACATTTTGAAATGCCTGCGAACTGATTGTACCCTCTGATGACTTCCTCAAAGCAACTGGTTGATGCTATTAAAAAAGGTTTTATCTTTTTGATAATTAACAGCTGTCAGTACTTACAAAAGTTACAAAGTTAATTATAGCCTTCAATGGGGTCAATGCGAAGAGGTTTTCGAAAGAAACGACGCATAAATGGGAATCCAGATTTGAACCTTTTTTTGTTGGAAATTAGACCACTGAGGATATTGTTGTGTGTAATTCATTATCATCATCATTTCAGCCAATGGTGGTTCAATTCTTTATTAAAACGCTCAAAATTGTTAGAAATTAGAAGATCGTGTTTTTTTTATTGAAGAGTACGTTCCCCAATTTTTTTTTCATCCAGCTATCTTCTTGGACTTGGATGTCCAATTATATGTTTACTGTTTGCTGAGATGAAGTCTTAATTCGAGAATCCTTTTACTCCACCTTTTCTGCAACAGATTATGTATTTTTATTAATGCAGTTATCATAGCTAATATTACTATTGTTTCTTCATCTTCTGTGTCTTTTCCCATTTCATTGGGGGTTGGCCTCGTTCTAAGGCGTCAAGATAATCTGCCTTGGGTTGTCCTTAACTCTAATGAATCATACCGATTATTATTTACTACTAGAGAAACCTCGTGGCTTTGGATTGAACTAAGTTGCTCGCGCGCACTTACTTGCCCATTTACATTTATCATTAAGTTCTGTGTAAGTTATAAGTTGGTTTCGCGCTTTAGCTGCAGATGGCGTGATAATCCTGTTTTTAATTAATATTATTGGTAATTATTATGTATTTTTTATGAATCATTTTACATAATAAAGACATACATGATCGCTCAAAACTGTGTCATAAAACTTCTGGATCATAAAATTCACACATTGTATTTTAATGTGGATGACATGTGTATCCACTTCTGAACCACCAAATTGTAAGCACCAAAAGTTTACTTAAAATTTCTTGATTTATGGTCGTCTAATTACCATAGATAATTAATAGAAGAAATACCTAAATGAAATGGGATAGGATTCGTAATTGGACGAAATATGATCAACAATAAATATAAATTCATCCTGGTACTTGAATTGAGGTCAAGAACAGCCATTCGATATACCTGGTAATTAGCTAGCAAATTGTATACTTGGTAGATACTTGTTTTCCTTAGTCTGTAGTTAAAGTCTCTGATAGATTTCGGGGTGAATTGTCCATTTGACTCACAACGTAAATAGGGGAAAGTCGGATATTTAGGGTTGCTATCTCTAAAATTTGGCAACTAGACCAAGACGCGTGTAAATCCCGGATTATGCATCGGCCTTGGCTTAAAAATGAAAATTTTAAGCCCGGACGCACCCTGGATGCCCTTTAAACTAGGACAAATCCAGGGAAACCCGGACGAATGACAACCCTTGGTATATTGAACCGGCTGCTAAATTGTGACGGCGACATACACTCAGGGAACTTGTGACAGCGACATACACATAACTAATTACATTGAAAATCAGCCATATTGTTTTTGCGTTTCACTGTGTTGCCAGCCATTTAAAAAATATGATACAAATTATGAAGGTGGTTTACAATTTAGAAGTCCAATATACCAGACTTTCCCCTAATTTACATCTAGGATAGATTTGGGGACTAAATTGCCCCTGTTGCACAACATTTCTTCGTCTTGATGTTGCAACGTTACTAAATCCAACTTCCATGTCCAATGCAATGTCCATGTTGTGACCTGTTTACGTGAGAGAGAGCACAAGTGTGTGACACTATATACATGTTTCGCAACATGTTGATACATTTGTCCCTTGATTAGTCCAAGGCTTAGTACTAAATATGTGTATGACGTAGATATTCAATGATAGGATTAGTAATTAAACTTCTTTAAAAAACATTCTAGCCTTTTAAATTTTCGTTATCCTTTAAACTTTCATCTTAATTCAACAAAATCATCACTTTCCATTAGGTGAGATGCAGCTTCCTCGTTGTGAAATGAAAAAAAAAAACATTGACTTTTCTATTGCCTGTAATTACTTATTGAAAACAAAAAACCTGTAGTTCTGTTTTGGATATTTTCTTAATTCTACAAATCTCTATGTACTACGTATAATATTTTACATCTACTGCTTTAAATATAACTTAAAACGTACATGCAACCTCATTATATTCCTAATTGTTGAGAACAAAAGAAATAATACCGAATTCCTTTGTCTAAACACTCGGTAATCTAAATACGTAGTTATGTACATTAAAAGAGAAAGGCGTCCGTGCTAGTAACGTTTATATTTGCCCTAGCGTCAGACCTTTTAGAACTCGGTCATTGTTATTATTTAACATCGGTGATCGTTTTAGTAAATATCAGGATACTGCTCTAATGATTATTTAAGTAAACGTGAATGATATCTTAGTTTTCAAAGAAAATTCGAGTATGGGCTCAAAATTGGACCTTGCGGTACACCTATAAGAAATAGGTCCCAAAATCGAGCCCTGATCAACTCCACTCGTAAACACATTAATATTTGTAAAATATTATCCATTATTGCGCCAAAAGCTAGTCATATTTCGTCGTTATATTCTCAAGGATATTTCTATCATGAAGTCGTAGTCCATTTAAAGTAATTTATGTTTCAAAATGTTCACCACTTCATTATTAAATTGTTTTTGTGGTACCTACGTACTATACGTCTAGTGTGACCACTTAGAGATTAATCGAAAACTAGTTTTGAACATGAATAAGCAGGATGTAATTATTTATGCGTATGATATTTATTAGTCATTATAAATCTACTCCTTTGTGTTTCAAAAACAAAATATGCAATGCCCGAGTTACTTCCGTACAGACATTGCTTATTTTTATTTTTAATACACATGAAGGTTTTATACCTCTCTAATTCCTCGGTCCATTTTTTCCGATTGCCGGTCAAGCTGAGGAATTCACGATCAAGGTTGTGAACGATATTAAACTTCCGCTTTTTGAAGCGTGCCAAATCGAAAATTGACATTGACTCTACATTGAATTAACTAGACCTAATTTTAGTTGAGTATGGTCCATTTTTGAATATGCATTAGATCAAGCAATCTAATTTTGGTCAGTGACATTTCAAAACAAAAAACTGGTCGTGACTATCAATTAGTGTCAAATGCATCAGGGTGTTCAGGAAATTAAAATAATCAATTAAATTACTATTTCATTTATTCACACATCCTCGCGTCTATTGCATATTTGTTTTTTTAATTAATTTATGTACAATCCAAAATGAGTATTATTTTTGGTATCTAAATTGCTATCACAGTTTACCATCCGTGGGAGTATCCGTGGGCAAGGCCATGAACGCCGTGGGCGTACGCTACGGGAGCGTGGGCCACGAGGGGAGCGTGGACGACGGGGGCGGGGTGGGACTGGGACAGGGATTGGGACACGACGGTCTTGCTGGCGCCGTAAGCTACAGCGGGCGCGGCGTAGCCGTGCGCGACCACGGGCGCGGCGTGGGCGGCGTAGCCGTGGGCAACCACGGGAGCGGCATGAGCGAGGACGGGCGCGGCGTAGGCGGCGTGTCCAGCGATCTGCTTAGCCAAGATGGGGGCAGCTCCGGCGGCGGCGCCGTCGAGCTGGGCCTCCTGGGTCTTGACAGCGTCGAGCGCCTGCCATGAGTGGTCTTCGGCGGCGTTGACGGCCTGGCCGTGGAGCTCGGCGTGCTGGTCGTGGGCTTCGCGGGCGGCGTCGACGGCGGCGCGGGCGTGGTCTGAGGCGTCAACGTGGGCATCGATGGCGGCGGCGTGGATGTCTCCGGGGGAAATGGTGGGCAAGGCGGGCGCAGCGTGGGCCACGGCTACTGGAGCGTGCGCCAGAGCCAAGGGGGCGGCGTGGGCCAGGGCCAGGGGGGCGGCGTGGCCCACTGCCAGGGGGGCGGCGTAGCCATGGGCGTAGGGCCCGGCCAGCAGGGCGCCGGAGGGCGCGGCTGCGGCGCAGGCGAGGACGGCGGCGGCGACAATCTGAAATCAAAGTCCCAAATCACTAACACGTCACCGGCACAACAGTTTGAGAAACTGTGGAAATCGGATCCTTGCGTCACAAAATATTTTTAAATTTTTTAAATCCTGGCACAACACTAAATTCACAAATCACATATTTTTTAAATGAGCGCGTTCTGTACTCGCAACTGACCAGAAATCTCATCGTGCACTTCTGTGGTAGACTGCTCGAAGGCTACTGATTGCTCTCATTTCGTCGTCGACGGTATTTATACTAGCCGCGTGTGGTGCGAAACGGAACACACTAAAAAAAGTAAGTGGTCTCTCTCAAGGGCAGGAAGGGTGCAGGAAGCCCGCCAATTTTTGACAGATAGTACGCACGCGTTCGAATTTCGAATTTGACAGGGCGGCCATGATTGGTTTATTATTTCTAAATCAATGTAGTGGTGACAAACTTTTTGGTTGTTAATTATTTTTTAATTGAATAACATTGATAACTAAAACGTAACTTACTGTTGTATGTTTAAAAATTACGTACGATTACTTTGATTAGAGTATTGTGTATGTGTAGTTTTAGAAGTAGGTGTGTGAATTAATTTAATGTAATGTTGGCATACAGTTTTACGTTTAACATTCAAATTCCTTTTTTTTCTAACTTATGCTTTTACATAAGTGTTTGAAGCTTGCAATTAATTAATTAATTTTCGTTGTTACGTTATTTATCGTAGACATTAACTACATTATAAAAGAAATAAAAATATTTTAGGTAATTGCAATAAAACTGACAAACCTATTAAAGACAACGTATTTTTTAAGATCTGCCATTTCTATTTGATTACAATTCAATTTGTTTTCTCATGTGTCGTCCCGCAAAACTGTCATGTGAACACACATTGTGTGTATTTAAATTCAAACGGATCAGTTTATTGCGGGACACTGTAAACGGGATACCTGCCTTGTTATGCATAAAAAAAATGTTCGTGTGAACGTTAATATTAAAACACGTGTACTACTAAATGGGTTCCTGCAAAAAACGGGACATCTCCGTTGGAACAAGCCCTGTTATGTCATTTCGTGGCAAAATAAGCATGATTTTTTTTTCTTTATTAGGTACTGTCTTCGTCTAAAAATAGGCAATGGCATACCACAAAAAAGTTTTTCTTTTATCATTAAATGAGACAAATTACCATAATGAAATACGACACTACTAATTGATTACACCATCGCACGCTATGCTCTTTGTTCGTGTGGGAAAAGCAGCTTGCGTTATGGCGGAAAAATGATGGGTGGCCGAACCTTTGACACGAATTGACAGCGGGATTTGGATATTTTTTGCAAATTATGACGTCACTAGCTTTTGCCCGCGGCTTCACCCGCGTGAAATTTAGTTTTTCACAGATCGTCATAAATTATAGCCTATAATAATATGTTATTCTGGGTTATAAACAATAATACTGTAAAGTTTCATCAAAATCCGTTCAGTAGTTTTTTGCGTGAAAGAGTAACAAACATCCAGACATCCAAACTTTCGCATTTATAATATTAGTAGGATAGTAGGATGTTTCTCCGATGATTACCTTATAAATAAAGAAAATACTTGTGTTATAAAAGACCTAAATAAATTCATTGTTTTAATCAAGAATGCCCACAATGCCCACAATTCAAAGCAACAAATCTAGATCATAGACGAATACTCGGCATCCGCTGGGGTATGACGCATGCGCCGCTCGCCTTGTGGTACAGTCGGCTAAGTAAATGACGCGTCAAAGTTAATGTATACATTTTCTTCATTATAATAGTATAGATCATTGGTTCCCAAAATCTGTAAGAAATGGCAATGCCAGATTTAGTATGGAAAGTGGCGTCTTTTTTTTTTCGCGCGGCCATCGACCAAACTTTGTTTTTTGATTACAAAATAGTGTAATAAACCAAACTTAATATGGCATGTATACCTCTAAACTCAGTCTGAACTGAGTTACGAGCATTAGAAGTTTGATGATTTTCATACTAGATTTGCTTTTTGTGCGCAAGTTTTGTAAGAAATTGCAACAAAATATTGCGCTATTTTTTTATTGCGCTGATTCTGCTTCATATTGATGTCTGGAGCCTTTAATGGATGGTATTGTTTGTTTACACATACAATCTCACTATTTTGTTGCAATTTCTTACAAAACTTTGCGCGCAAAAAACAAATCTAGTATGAAAATCATCAAACTTCTAATGCTTGTAACTCAGTTCAGACTGAGTTTAGAGGTATACATGTCATAGTAAGTTTGGTTTATTACACTATTTTGTAATCAAAAAACAAAGTTTGGTCGATGGCCGCGCGAAAAAAAAAAGACGCCAATTTCCGGCATTGTCTTCTGTAAGAAACCTGCGACCGCTGAGAGAATGCATTCCAGACTGCTCGATACGACCAATAAATAATCTTGACTGGAGGAGGGGGCGCGCGGAATTTTTTGTATGATCGAAAGGGGGCGCGTGTCAAATAAGTTTGGGAACCAATGGTATAGATAGACTATAAAAATTAAATAGTACTTAAAATAGTCAAATAAAGAAAAAAGAGGGAAATAAAAGACTTAAAAATCATACGGTTTTGCTCTAAAGACGTCTCATATTTTTTTTCTCTATCAGCGCTTGTTTTTAAATAATAATAATAAATACCATGGGCATTTTATTTACACTACGCTTCTAGTCCCAAACTAAGCAAAGCTTGTACTATGTGTAGTAGACAACGATTATAAACATTCTTAAATACTTTTTTTTGTAAATACATACATATTATACACAGTAACACCCAGACCCGTCACAGAAATTAAAATTCATCATTTCAATTTCTGCCCGGCCGGGAATCGAACCCGGGACCTCCCGGCATAGTAGTCCGTTTCCGAACCACTACACCAAACTTGGAAACCAATATTTGGCAAATGCTGAAAAGAAGCGTCGCAACAATCTGTTACCGTCGTATGACTGATTCATCATCATCATTGAGCCATTTAGTCTGCTGTCATAATTTCTTTATTTGTTTAATTTTTAATCGAATCGATTAATACATGACTGATTGTCTTCCAAATGTAACATTATCTTGCGTCCAAGTGTACACACAGCCTATATACAGTTGCACAATATCCTTGTATTTGTTTGCATGCCTAGACACAGGCCTTTCTCGGCAGGACTTGCGTTTGGTTGACCAAAGAATTCGCAAAATCATATACTTCTTCTTCCTGTCGTGTCGACAACAAACCTATACAGTGTCAGCCCAAAACTCCGCTACAAGAGTGGCGTTGTCAGCAGCATTCATTAAATCTTACTGTGAGCAGTTGTTTGGGCATACATTTGAAACCATATACAGTAGAATCCCGATTTTCCGGATCAATTAAAACCAGGGGTGTTCCGGATAATCGAAAATCCGGATAATCGATTTCAAAGTAAAATCAAACAATAATTAACTTTTTACAATAGAAAGGGTTTTCAATACATCATTTAGAGTCTAAAAATCTAAATTTTAGACCATTAGATGAATACATTATTCTTTTCAGAATGAACTAAGACGAACTCCATACCGTGTTACGGTGGCAGCGCCTTCCGTTTTTATGGGTCCAGACCATAAATCGGTAATTAGAAACTGTGAAGAATGAGTCCGGATTAGAGGTGGGCGCCACGCCGGCGCGCCGCCGCCGCCGCGAATTTTTTCACGCCGCCGCCGCCGACGACCAGCTGTCGGCGCGCCGATACTGATACTGTACAAACTATTTGCAATTTATTCCTCTCCTATACTGTACTAATTTGTGTTTCGAACGCTTTTTTATTGAGTTGAGAGGCTATTCTAGTTCAATAAAGTCCTAGTATCACTGCGACTGGACCGATCTATTGTGATCGCCGCTATTTTCCTGACAGTCCGCCTCCGAGTCCTGCATCCATTAGGAATTGCAGTATCTTTTGGGGGGCGATATGTTTTACATCTTGTTTTTCGCTATCCAAATATCAAAGTATCTATCATCAAGAGAGCTAATTTACTAAGGTAAACCACTGCTCTAGTGGCTCAAACCCCAACCAACTGCAAATCACCTGATTAGTCTTGACAACAGATACTAAAAATGCAAATTTAAAAAAAAAACCGAATGAACAAAGGTCAAACAAGGTCACGCCGCCGACGCCGCCGCCGCCGAGGTCAAAAAGTCGGCGCGCCGCCGCCGGCCAATTTTATATCGGCGCCCACCTCTAGTCCGGATAATCGGATATCCGGATAATCGAAGTCCGGATAATCGAGATTCTACTGTACTTAACCATACCCATTCTGCGTAAATAAGAGAGAAAATGGGGTGATGGGAATATGAAAACAATGAATAATTTAACTCTTTCATTTATTTACACGTCCTCTTGTCTACTGTTGTTTTTTAATATTATTTACAGTCCAAACATAGTATTTTTTGCTATCTAAATTGCTAACAACGTTTACCAAGCATGGGAGTATCCGTGGGCGAGTCCATGGACGCCGTGCGCGTACGCCACGGGAGCGTGGACGACGGGGGCGGGGTGGGACTGGGACAGAGACTGGGACACGACGGAATGGCTGGCGCCGTAGGCTACAGCGGGCGCGTGGGCGAGCACGGGCGCGGCGTGGGCGGCGTAGCCGTGAGCGACCACGGGAGCGGCGTGGGCGACCACGGGCGCGGCGTAGGCGGCGTGTCCGGCGATCTGCTTGGCCAAGATGGGGGCGGCTCCGGCGGCGGCGCCGTCGAGCTGAGCCTCCTGGGTCTTGACAGCGTCGAGCGCCTGCCACTAGTGGTCTTCGGCGGCGTTGACGGCCTGGCCGTGGAGCTCGGCGTGCTGGTCGTGGGCTTCGCGGGCGGCGTCGACGGCGGCGCGGGCGTGGTCTGAGGCGTCAACGTGGGCATCGATGGCAGCGGCGTGGATGTCTCCGGGGGAGATGGTGGGCAAGGCGGGCGCAGCGTGGGCCACGGCTACTGGAGCGTGCGCCAGGGCCAGGGGGGCGGCGTGGGCCACTGCCAGGGGGGCGGCGTAGCCATGGGCGTAGGGCCCGGCCAGCAGGGCGCCGGAGGGCGCGGCTGCGGCGCAGGCGAGGACGGCGGCGGCGACAATCTGAAATCAAAGCCCCAAATCACTAACACGTCACCGGCACAACAGTTTGAGAAACTGTGGAAATCTTATCCTTGCGTCACAAAATATTTTTTAATTTTTAAATCTTGCCACAGCACTAAATTCACAAAGCACATATTTTTTAAATGACCGCGTTCTGTACTCGCAACTGACCAGGAATCTCATCGTGCACTTCTGTGGTAGACTGCTCGAAAGCTACTGATTGCTCTCGTTTCGTCGTCGACGGTATTTATACGCGGGCGGAACGGAACACGTGAAAAAAAGAAAGTCGTCACTGTCAAGGGCGGGAAGGGTGCAGGAAGTTCGCTAATTTAATACCACCTCTCTTACCCCTTAATTCAAATGATTTGTGTTCCTTCTAACTTAGGGACGTAAGGAGTTTTTGGGCGTGACGTCGTGTGAAAATATGTCGTGGCTTTTACGTTGCGGTCTGTGGAAAACTGGTCGTAGTTCATCCGGAAATTGTACGTGACGTCGTTGTAGGTACATGACTCGTCCCATCCATCTTTCTCGGATAGTTGCGTTGTGACCAGGGGGATAGCAGTTCCTGTAATACGGTTGTTCGTAGCTATGTTAGGTTTTGAACTTCATTTGAGTCAGTGAAGAAGTATAAATCAATATGTTTCGTTCGTTTTATTTTCAGTACATAATTTTATCTTCGTCTTGTATAATTTTTTTAATTAGTCTGGAGAACGAAACTACTGTATTTAATCACGCAACCTTGTGGATCTTAGGGTTACTTTCGTACATTCTTTCTATACATACTTTCTATTTATCGTTGTGCTATTTTTTGGTGCATATGATATTAGTTTGATAACTTTTTTTTAGTTATAATTATTCATTGCCTTGTATGGGTGTTTGTCTTGTTAGGTGTCCTAATAAATAACAAAATATCAAGGTTGTTTCGGCAAGTTGTTTCGTATAGGTATGATTTTAGAGTACTTCTTGGTATTCAAATACATAAAATGTCTGTCAAGTGCTTCCGGGTATTTTAGAACATGTTATAAGACATGACGTTTATCTCTGTCTCTACAATTATAGGGCTAATGTTGTGACATGGCGTAAATATAACCTTAAAATTTTGACCGGAAGTGAAGGATTGTTGTCTCAAACTTCCGACTAATAATTATGTGCGATATCCTTCCGATCCACGCCAGCACAAGTTTTCCAAACGTGTGCCTGACGCCATGATGAAGTATACGATTCGGGAACGAGTTCGCTGAATATTCATACATTCCTTCAGGAATATAATAAATCCTTAGATAGAGCTTCTTTTTTACGTTTTAGGCATCAAATTACGTAAGAAGTAAAAATGTGAATTTATTTTTAATTATAAACAAACACCTTTTATCCATATACGGGTCTATTCCCACCTCTCGTTCCCACCGCTGCAACTCCTGTGTAGCCAGGATCTACAGCTTGACCGCCAATAAAAACCCAACCAGTGAAGGTCTAGTTTGTCCCGGGGGAAACCCTTCATTCATATCCCTGAATACTATTGTAATTTTTTTGTTATTTACAGGAAAACTTTAATTTTTCAGTGCTCGATGTGAACTGAACTCTATTTAATAGAAACAGTGACTTTTATGTGGGCTCTATCACCAAGGATATATTATTTGACAATACTACCAGGCCTGTTCATCTCCGCGAGTTTACATCGAAAACAAAACACGCACGATGGCCCACCTACAGGATACTATTCGACAAGGCCTCACATACGAGCAAACATTGACTCACGCACGCGTATTCTTGTGTATGATGGAAGAAAATAAAGAAAATGGTGTACTAAACACTGCAGTATTTAACTGCCTAAATAATAATAAAAACACAGAATGTACTTTTTTAAGTTGCCTCAAGATACTGAGAGGTAAATAAGTGTTAATATTCATGATAATTCATGCTAAATCATGTATTTCCTCCGCCATTTTCCGTAGTTTGGCACCTCACGTAGTCACGTCACATCATTTTACCGAAGTCAGCCCTATAGCTTCGGCGCAGTGCCGATCACTGACATTTGTCAACAAAATTGTGCTTGACTCTTGAGACAGGCTAAATTACACCATATTGTTAATGACATTGAGCATACATTTTTTTAAATACCTTCGCGAAGTAAAACTTCTGTACGTAGTACTTATTATTATTCTGTGATACTACTTTAATCTAGATAAATCAATTAATGCGTTCTGCTTAATATGCGACCACAACTTGCAGTTTATTTACTTACATTAAACGGCAGGCAGTGGTGATTTATTTCCGGTTCTTCTCGATACTTGCCATAATAGTCCAGAAATGCTGGCGAGGTGAAAAATGTGTGATCTTGTAAAATACCTTGACAGTTAGTTAACATTTTGATAATTTGTGATTCTAGAGTACGAGAATTTAAACCTATTATAGCATCCCCGAACTTAGGTAGTGGGCACGCCGTGGTGTCGTAGGTTTATTTAACCACTGTATGATGTCATTTCTGATGACGTCATTTCTGATGTCGACATCAGGTATCATCACGACATAACGATAAACATAACAGTACTACAACCCTACAATAATAATGTTGTCAGTCCAAGTAGAGTAGTCCAGAGCATCAGCCAGAAGTTCTCAAACTTTTTGTAAAGTAGCCCATTTATAAAAATTAAAATAATTTAGAATCCCATAGTAGACAAAATTAAACAGCTTCATGTGTAATTCATAGGTAATAATTACGAGTACGTGATAAGACTTGTCGTACTTGTTCACAATGCAGTTTTTTGGATATATCTATGAGTCGAGTTTAATCAAGTTTAATGTCACATAACTGCCTGCCTTCTAAATATACTCGTAGTTTTGTTAGTATTTCTGACCTTACGCTTATCTTTGCAAGACCAATTCGAACCAATCATTAACCTTAGTGTGAATAGGATAGTATTCATATGTCATGGAACTTAATGCCAGTGACCAGTCTGGAATGGGGAAAACTTCATATGTTTGTGTATCAGTTCATTAAATGAAAACATTTAGTGAAATTACTATTTCATTTATTCGCTCATCCTCGTCTATGGCGTCTGTTTTTTTTAATTTATTTATGTACAACCGAAAATTGACTATTATTTTTGGTACCTAAATGACTATCACAGTTGTCGAATTACCAAGCATGGGAGTATCCGTGGGCGAGCCCATGGACGCCGTGCGCGTACGCCACGGGAGCGTGGACGATGGGGGCGGGGTGGGACTGGGACAGAGACTGGGACACGACGGAATGGCTGGCGCCGTAGGCTACAGCGGGCGCGTGGGCGAGCACGGGCGCGGCGTGGGCGGCGTAGCCGTGAGCGACCACGGGAGCGGCGTGGGCGACCACGGGAGCGGCGTGGGCGACCACGGGAGCGGCGTGGGCGACCACGGGCGCGGCGTAGGCGGCGTGTCCGGCGATCTGCTTGGCCAGGATGGGGGACACGCCGGCGGCGGCGCCGTCGAGCGCGGCCTGCTGGGTCTTGACGGCGTCGAGCGCCTGCCACGAGTGGTCTTCGGCGGCGTTGATGGCCTGGCCTTGGATCTCGCGGGCGGCGTCGACGGCGGCGCGGGCGTGGTCTGAGGCGTCAACGTGGGCATCGATGGCGGCAGCGTGGATGTCTCCGGGAGAGATGGTGGGCAGGGCGGGGGCAGCGTGGGCCACGGCTACTGGAGCGTGCGCCAGAGCCAAGGGGGCGGCGTGGGCCACTGCCAGGGGGGCGGCGTAGCCATGGGCGTAGGGCCCGGCCAGCAGGGCGCCGGAGGGCGCGGCTGCGGCGCAGGCGAGGACGGCGGCGGCGACAATCTGAAATCAAAGTCCCAAATCACTAACACGTCACCGGCACAACAGTTTGGGAAACTGTGGAAATCTGATCCTTGCGTCACAAAATATTTTTTAATTTTTAAATCCTGGCACAGCACTAAATTCACAAATCACATATTTTTAAATAATCGCGTTCTGTACTCGCAACTGACCAGGAATCTCATCGTGCACTTCTGTGGTAGACTGCTCGAAAGCTACTGATTGCTCTCGTTTCGTCGTCGACGGTATTTATACGCGGGCGGAACGGAACACGTGAAAAAAAGAAAGTCGTCTCTATCAAGGGCGGGAAGGGTGCAGGAAGTTCGCTAATTTAATACCACCTCTCTTACCCCTTGATTCAAATGATTTGTGTTCCTTCTAACTTAAAATTTGGGACGTAAGGAGTTTTTGGGCGTGACGTCGTGTGAAAATATGTCGTGGCTTTTACGTTGCGGTCTGTGGAAAACTGGTCGTAGTTCATCCGGAAATTATACGTGACGTCGTTGTAGGTACATGACTCGTCCCATCCATCTTTCTCGGATAGTTGCGTTGTGACCAGGGGATAGCAGTTCCTGTAATACGGTTGTTCGTAGCTATGTTAGGTTTTGAACTTCATTTGAGTCAGTGAAGAAGTATAAGTCAATATGTTTCGTTCGTTTTATTTTCAGTACATAATTTTATCTTCGTCTTGTATTAGTTTTTTAATTAGTCTGGAGCACGAAACTACTGTATTAAATCATGCAACCTTGTGGATCTTAGGGTTACTTTCGTACATTCTTTCTATACATACTTTCTATTTATCGTTGTGCAATTTTTTGGTGCATATATTAGTTTGATAACTTTTTTTAGTTATAATTATTCATTGCCTTGTATGGGTGTTTGTCTCGTTAGGTGTCCTAATAAATAACAAAATATCAAGGTTGTTTCGTATACCTAGGTATGATTTTAGAGTACTTCTTGGTATTCAAATACATAAAATGTCTGTCAAGTGCTTCCGGGTATTTTAGAACATGTTATAAGACATGATGTTTATCTCTGTCTCTACAATTATAGGTATAATGTTGTGACATGGCGTAAATATAACCTTAAAATTTTGACCGGAAGTGAAGGATTGTCTCAAACTTCCAACCAATATTATGTGCGATATTTTTCCGATCCAGCACAAGTTTTCCAAACTGGTGCCTGAGGGACGCCATAATGACGTATACGATTTTGGAACGAGTTCGCTGAATATTCATACATTCCTTCAGGAATATACTAAATCCTTAGATAGAGCTTCTTTTTTACGTTTTAGGCATCAAATGACGTAAGAAGTAAAAATGTGAATTTATTTTTAATTATAAACAAAAACCTTTTATCCATATACGGGACTATTCTCACCTCTCGTTCCCACCGCTGCAGCTGCAACTCCTGTGTAGCCAGGATCTACAGCTTGATCGCCAATAAAAACCCAACCAGTGAAGGTCAAGTTCGTCTTGGGGGAAACC